TCTGAAAGTCAAGATCAAGCTACAAGAGCTAGTCCTTCCACAACAACCATTACAGAGCAATCACCTTTCATTTCATCATCCTCTGTAACACCTTCCCMAGAAGCTTCTCCACCAGAAGCTACCCAAATAGAAAGTCCTCCAGACCTCTCCTCAAACCAAGCTCAAAAACATGTCCCAGACTCTGCATCTCAATCTCAATCCCAAATTCTTCAAGAAACAGTGTTCTCTGTTCAGCCATCACATGTTACTAAATGGACCAAAAGCCATCCACAATCTCAAATTATTGGAGAACCTTCTGCCGGTGTTAAGACGCGAGCCACTGCAAATTTCTGCTTATTTGCTTGTTTTGTAAGTGAAATTGAACCTAAAACAGTGGCAGAGGCTCTGGCAGATTCCTTTTGGGTTGATGCTATGCAAGATGAGCTTGTTCAGTTTGACAGAAACCATGTATGGACTCTTGTACCTCTGCCAAGTGGAAATCTTGCAATAGGCACCAAGTGGGTTTTTCACAATAAAAAGGATGAACAAGGCGTGGTGGTGAGAAACAAGGCCAGATTGCTTGCCAAAGAATATTTCCAAGAGGAGGGCATCGACTATGAGGAAACCTTTGCCCCTGTGGCTAGACTAGAAGCAATTCGCATCTTTCTGGCATATGCTGCTCACAGAGGGTTTAAAGTATTCCAAATGGATGTGAGGTCAGCCTTCTTGAACGCCAAAATCAAAGAAGAAGTCTATGTCAAGCAACCACCAGGGTTTGAAAGTGAGAAGTATCCTAACCATGTCTATTTCCTAGACAAAGCTCTGTATGCTCTCAAACAGGCTCCCAGAGCATGGTATGAACGCTTGTCCATCTTTCTTACTACAAATAGTTTTCACAGAGGTACAACTGATATTATTTTGTTTGATAAGAAACAAAATGATGATATTTTGCTTGTACAAATATATGTTGATGACATAATCTTTGGTTCAACTGATGTTTCTATGTRCAAAGAGTTTGAGTTTTTGATGCAGAGTGAATTTGAGATGAGCATGATGGGAGARMTYAYTTTCTTCTTAGGTCTACAAGTGAAGCAATCCTCCGAAGGAATTTTCATTAATCAATCTAAATATTTACATGACCTTTTGAAGAAGTACAAGATGAATGATGCCTCTCCCATGAGGACACCAATGGCCCCT